CTTGTGATCTGAAACTTTTATGCCCGTGTGCACCACTCGCCCCTACATCTACAACTTGTCTAGGCGCCACTTGAGCTGAGGGTAACCCTTGAGGTTTAGTTGGTTTGCAAAAGCTCGGAATATGTTCGGCTTTGAGAAGAGGAGGAAATTAATGGCAACAATGCAATAAGTTGGTTTATTTTGTGTTATTTGTGTGGCAATAATGATTATTATTGATTATTTTCTGTCAGGAGTGTCAGCTGTTGAAAAATATTTGTTTTTTTTTCTAAAATAAATTTTGCTTTTTCTGTTGTGACGATTGTGTTGGTCGGAAATGAACGAAACTGCGAAAAAAAAAGTGAATTATTCGGTAAGCGAGAAAAGCTTATTGCTTAGTATTGCCCAACGTTTTAAAAACGTTGTCGAAAACAAGAAAACTGACGCAGTTACCTGGAGGGAAAAAGACTCTGCATGGGAGAAAATAGCGGAGATTTTCAGCTCAAAATCCACAGGAGTATTACGGACGAGAGATTCCTTGAGAAAGCTTTACGAAAATTTAAAAAAAAATGTTAGGAAACAGGTGGTTGACGAAAAAAAACTACTTATTTGTACTGGAGGAGGGCCACCACCTGCTAAGAAACCAAAGGCTGAAAATGATTTAAAGGAACAAATATTATCTATTGTTAACAGTAAGACTGTTTATGGTCTACCAAGTATTGTCGATGGAGATGCTGTGAAGGAGAATAGAGATAAATCACCTCAGCCAGGCTGCAGCAAAGACTTCTACCAACTAGACACTGATCATGATTATTTCTCCTTCGATAATGAAAATGAAGTTATAGTTGTGGAAACATCCACTCCTAGAAAGGGAATATTAGTGGTAAGAAAATGCATTCACTTTCTTCACTTTGCGAGTTTTTATTAGTTAAGAAAACATTTTTTTAATTTTTGAAGTACCTATAATGTTTATTCAATATGAACATTTATATGGATTTTTCGTTTTATGTAATTATAGATCTCCAATGTTCATTTCTGAACTTTGTTGTTCGATCTGTTATGTAAACTATAACAGAAACTCGAGCAGCTGTAATTTTTAGTATTTTGTCATAGAATCCTACTTTCATGTTTTCCTTTCTATTCTTAAAACATACAAATTAATTTTACAAGACTCATAAATAAAAAGATATGGAAGGTTTTGTTTTTTTTATACTTTTGTTTTAACCATGTTTTTGATACAAAAAATTATAGGTTGCTCTAAGTGTTGCTCATATTTCAGCTGTTATACCTACCATCTTTAAAGATGAAACGATAAAATTTCAAATAATGATGATTACAATTTTCACATAGGTACTGCATTTTTTTTGAAAGGTGGGGATCTCGATGGGGATGGAGCTGCTCAATGATATTTTTTGTCCTTTGGTATATTTTCTTATTGAGAAAATTATAGTAGGTACTTCAAAAAGTTAAAATTCTGCTAAATTGGCACTTCAGAAAATTTTATTATTGATAAGATATGGGAAAACCGTAAGTATGATAGAGAATGACCTTCAAATTATTTTTACTTTACAGAATACTGATCAGAATACAGAACCACAAAACAATAAATACCAAAAACATGAATCCTGCCAGAAATTTGCTGCCACCACAAATGAAGACAGCATTATAATGGTAAAATCTGTTTTGAATTTTTGTAGCTTTATTTTATAGAAATGTGCTTTCTTTTTCTACCTTTCCAGGGTTGATGGGGAAATCACTTGGGGAAATCACTTCAATTTAAAAAAAATCAAATATTTCATATGCCTTTTTTAACTTAGGTCTAATAATGGGTTTTAGTTAAAAACTGAAATTTTGATACAAGCCATCACACCAACATAATTTTCTTTTGTGGTTTACTTATTTTTAAATGCCAAACAAAATTAGCTTGCTTTTTGAGTTGATATTTGGTTTCGTTTCTTTGCTCCTGTAACCAATAATTTTTTTCCTTCACAGGAAAAATCAAGCAAGGATATTAACATCTTTAAAACAAAAAAAGATGATGCTTTACATGTGGACTCGCATGTGGATGGATGTAGTGCATGGGGTTCCAGAAGAAAACCTGCAATGAAGGAAACTGGTGGGGCAGATTTAAAAAGAGAATACTCTTCCTTGGCTAAGGCAAAATTTGAATTATACTCGGAGGAATTGAAACTAGCTAAAAGTCGAATAAAAAGGGAAGAAGAACTCCACGAACTTAATAAAGAGAGCCTTAATTTAGAAACTGAGAAAAAACGGTTGGAGAAAAACCACTTCAAGCATTTGTTGTAGAATAAAAAAAGTCAATGTGATTAGTTAACATACCAAAGAAAATATTTAGATATGTATTGATTAATTACATTTAAGTACCTGAGTGTTAGGAATAGTCCAACAATATTTAAGTTGTGATTGTGTTGCAGAGCAAAATATTTATTTTTTATTTTCATTATCATATTATTTTGTTTCTTTTAAGACATGTTATAAACTGAAACACTGATTTTGTTTGAATTAAAATGTACCTTCTAAGGCATTGTGCAATATATCCTGTTAAAAAATTAAAAATTTTGATAAATATTACGTAAACTGTAATTAACAAACCAGCTTTTCCACTTATGAACTGAGCTAGTTATCAATCACATGTAAATAATTTGCACAGCTTTAAACCTTCATTTGATTGAACTAAAATAAAATTGTGCAAACCTCGTCAAATTATGAACTATTCCAAAATACTGCGAAAAAGGCTTGCTCTATAATATTATGCAGGGAGAATATAAAAAAAAACTAAGTTTGAAATGGAATTATTTTACTTCTAGATTGCACTAAAAACCAAACAGCAAAAATATATTATGCATAATTATATACATTTTCTATCTATCTAAATCTGCAAAATAATTTATTATTCCCTCTCTTATCCCAAGTGCTTGTAAGTCTGCAGCTTGGTCCACAGGTGGAATTCCAGGAACTAAATCTTCTTCCATCCTTCTCAAAAATCTTTCCAAGTCTTCTGGATCTGGTGGATCAGCCTCATTTTGTTCTCTGCATATATTGTGCAGAACTGCCAAAGCTACTATAATTATTAAAAGCGTCTCCAGTTTAAGACGACATCCATAGGCAAGTATAGGAAAACGCCTCTTTATTATTCCATTTACCCTTTCTATGATGTTCCGGGTTCTTATATGAGCCTCATTGTATAGCTGTTGCTCCCTAGTTTGTGGGTTGAGTAATGGAGTAAGCAAATATGGCCTTTGAAAATAACCACTATCTCCTGCAAAAAAAAAATAATTGTGTTATAATAAGTGTGAAAAATGATCGCTTTGCTTGTTCCACAAATGTTAATATGCATGCTTTTGAGCATGCTTTTAATGCATTTTTCGCATGTATTGTATATTATACAAGATTTTTTCCACAAGTGAGACTTTTCACACTAGTGTGCTACATGAAGTTAATTTTTCCACACTGAAATGGACTTTTCACACGCTCATAGAAAAAGTCTGTTTTTACCTTGAGCTTTAAGGTTCTTTCCAAAGGATATACCTATCTACTGTTTTACTTACCTAGCAAAAGACAATTTGGAAAATTATTCTGGTCAAAAAGTTGTTTAATTCGGCTGTTATTAAAAATTGTACTATCATGACTCGATCCAGGCCATCGTGCAACAATGTTAGTTATTTTGAGATTGGCATCACTAATGATTTGGGTATTTATTGAAAAATAACCCTTTCGGTTGCGGAAAATTTCAGCATCATTTCCACCTAAAAATGACAACGAAGTAATTGAAATATTAATTTCAGTTTCTTGTAGTTTATTTTCTGATTTAATGTTGAAAAGAGGAATATCAGATAAATGCATCGTTACTGGTAACCAAAATCTATTTAAAGAAAAAGTGCCTCCTCCTTCTGATAATATTTTGTAATGTAAGCATCACTTTTTGATATTCATTTTTAAGTTAAAAAAGAGCAGGAGTACCTACACAAGCGCCTTTCTCAGTTTAAATGAATAACCTAAATTAGTTGAAAATTAGAGGAGGAAGGGCATATTTTCATGGCATGAATGACAGATTTTTATGAAACCTAAATTGTTTCCAACATTCCAACTTTAAAAAAATCATATTACCTGAACAAAATAACAAATAATAATAATATTATGCCTACCAGGAGACTGTATTCTTATATGGGTACAATCTATGACTCCTATCACTCTGGGAAACCTGGCCTTCTGATAAAATAGGAGATTTTCTTTATCCCTTTCTTCTTGAGTAGCTGGCATTTTAATAAAATGATCTGCTCTTCTTGCAAGGGCCATTCCAACCCTTTTAATTATTCTTGAAACAGAAGAGTAGTGCATGCCCGAAAAATCACCAATTAATGTCAAATGGCTTCCAGTTGCACATACCCGTAAGAAAACCAGTAATTGGTTTATAGGTGCAACACTATTATTACTAAAACCAAAGTTTATGAATATATCACCATACATTTCTTTTTTTGTAATAATAAAAATAGGTATGTAGTATGTATGTACTTATATGAACTCACAAATCATATGGATGCTCAATATCACCTTCAATAAGATTGAGCACAAAAAGGCTTGTATCTTTCGACATTCTAAACCGTTTGCGAAAGGTATCTTCATCGAAACTATTGAAATAATCCATTCTTTCAAAAATTCTTCTTGGAATTCCATTTATCACAAATTCTAATTCTTCATCTTCTTCGTCGTCCCGAAGAAGTTCCATTTCAAGGCAGACAATTTAAATAGCCAATAATGTATTTTAATACCTACTTTTATCTTGAATACTTCTGTTTTGACAAAATTACGAAATAAAACATAAACAAAATAAGCACACATAACCTCAAAGTGACGTTTAAGCCGAAGACATTCTGCGGCTTGTCTTAAACACAGGTAAACGCCACTTACGTTGATATTCGCCACCTTTGCAAACCAAACTATAAATTAAGCTCCGCTCACATATAAAGCCGAACCCGTGCACACGGGCATTAGAGTCTATTCTTTTCGTGTTATCCGAGTGCAAACAATCTTACTCCACTTACTCCGAAAACAATTAGATATTAAATGAGGGAAATGGCTGTGTGCACATCAACGATGTAGAGAAGAAAAAGACAAGGGAGACCCCAGTGTGTATTCTGTGCATAAATTTTATTGAATAGCAGAGCGCTTTCGGCCGTAGGCCATCTTCAGTGCTTCCTGAAAGTAATCAAATAACCTGAATGAGATTTTGAAGGTTGTAACTAGTTGAGTTGATTAGCTAATCGGTTATTACTTACTTTGTCAGGAGTACATCGAAGTCAGAAATTGTAAAAGAGCACCACATACTTAATGGAACGAACATACATTTAAATTATTGCAAAACATTAAACATTTAGGTGTAAAAAGGGGGGCCCTAGGGCTGAACCATGGCAATTACATTAATTAGTTTGGTCTCAGACAACGTGTTCTTTTTCGTTTTGTAATTAATGCTGGATGACACAGGAAGAAAGTCAGCTGATTTTCAAAGACTAACCGCGCAAGTGTGAGCTACGAGGGCAACTCCAAAATTGCAGTTCAAAAAATAAGAATTTCGAAAATCGTTTAAGTTTTCGTTTTTTATAAATAGAGCCAGACTAAATTTTAAAAAACAATAACTCTATTGTAAGCAGGTCTAGATGGAACTTGATAATTTCTTGATTATCATCATTGAGTGATCAAACCTACTTAGTTGTTAAGCTTAGTTAGTGTTTAATTTAGAAGGCGTCTGTGCAAAGGGATATAACTCCTATTCAAATTCACCTGAGTATTTAGACAAGAGCAATTTATCTGTAGTTCTTTTTGTATTTCAATGTCCTCCATAAAGTCCAGTCTATTGAAGTTCTTCGAAGAAACGTTATGGATAATCTTGGAATTTGATTTAGGGCTAAATTCATGTTTTGTGGATTTTATGTGGTCCCCAAAAGCCGAATTAGGTCTGGTTAAATGTTCGTGAATCCGTGTTTGAAGAGGTCTACAAGTTCTCCCTATATATGAACTGTTGCAAGTGTTACAGTTTAACTTATAAATTCCGCTTTTGGAGAGGGTTTCTATCCTATCTTTAGAGTTAACCAAGTGTGTGTGAAGACTGTTTTTTGTTTTATAAGAAATATTAACTTTCTGGATAGAATGGCGAATGGAATTTGCTACTTTCGAACTGAAATTTTGATCAACAAAAGGTATTGAAACATATCTCAAAGTCTCCTTTGGAAGAGGGTAGATTTCTTTCCTCAGTCTATTGTGTTTTGTCTTGTTAATCAAGGTATCTATCATGTCCGGGTCGTATTGGTTGTTGTATGCTATTTGTTTCAAGATTCTAAGTTCTTTGTTGTAGTTCTCTTTAGACATTGGAATATTAAGTAGCCTATTTATGTAACAGTGGAAGGCTGCTAATTTGTGTTGTTGAGGATGATTAGAAGATTGTGGGATTGTGTGGTCCGTTTGTGTTGGCTTCCTGTAAATTTGAAAATGAAGATTGTTCTGTTCCTTTTCTATGGTAACGTCTAAGAAATTGATTTTTTTGTTATTTTCTATCTCTAGGGTGAAAGCAATGTTAGGGTGAATGGTGTTCAACTTGTTAAGTAGGGTCTCAGCCACTTGATTATCACCAGCCAGGAAACAAAGACAATCGTCCACATATCTGAACCAGTGTAAAATTTCCGAATTGTTATTTGATATGATATGTTCATTTTCCAGAAAATCCATGAATACATCAGCAAGAAAAGGTGATAAACAGCTGCCCATAGCGAGGCCGTCAGGTTGTTGGTAATATTTGCCATTGAAACAGAAGTAGTTCTGTGACAAACATAGATTTAGTATTGATAAGATGTTAACTACATTGTTTTCAGGTATATTTTTTGATCTTAGGATATTACCGACAATTGTGACCGCCTCTGCCTTAGGGACTGTTGTGAATAGGTTCGTGACATCAAAAGACACCAAGAGAAAATTTGTTGGAAGGTTGAGAGTCTGGAGTTTATTGACTAAGTCTAGTGTGTTGTTGACTGTGTATTTTGGCTTGAAATCTGTGGAAGATTTAATTAGTTTAAGAACAAAGTTTGAAATAATTGATACTGGTGTGTTGGTAAAACTTACCACTGGTCTTATAGGTGTGTTGATTTTGTGAATCTTTGGAAGTCCATATAACCTTGGCACATTAGGATTACTAGAAATAGTGGTTTTTGGAGCGTTGTGTTCCTCGAGGAAATCACTAAAATGTTTCAAGACTCTGTTCGTTTTCCTAATGAAACCGTTATGAGGGTTGTTTGGGAGAGATCTGAAATTGTTTTCGTTCAAGAATGTTTCAACTTTACTCAAATAGTCGTTTTTGTTTAGAATCACAAGGCAATTGCCCTTGTCAGCTTTTGTAACAATCAAGTTTTTCTCTTTGATCTTTGATTTTAATTTCTTTAATCTTTGATTTAGAAAAACAGAGGTGGAGAAATTGAACTTATTGATCTTCTTTTTGGTGTCATATAAGATGCTATGTAAATCATTCCGCAATGTTTTTTTAACTTTATAGTCGTTGGTTAGTTGTTCTATAATGACATCTAGCTCAACTGCGTAGAGTAAAAGATCACTCTCAGAAAGAGGTAATTTGAGACAATATTTCAGTCCTTAATTCAACAAGTCCATCTCACCTTCGTCAAAATTAGTGTTAGAAAGATTCTTAACTCTTTCGTGAAATTTGAAATCAGAGAATTTTTTGGAGTTTTTTAATCTGTCTCTGTTAAAACTATGGTTCTGTTTGATTAAATACTGAAGTTTTTTGTTTACTGAGTCGAACTTGATTTTCTTTGTTTGGGAGACCTCTTCTGATATGTCATTCAAAAGCAATTGTAATTGTTCATCGCCCAGGGTTCCCGAAATTTGAATATATATCTTTTTGAGTTGACAATTTAAAAAATCTAACCTAGCATAATGCTTACAAATGTGTGATTTTATGATTCTAAGTTCTAATTCTTTTTTGAACCTAAGAGGAACATTCCTAGAAGTTTTGGCCCTAGCAAATACCGGTGTAACCTCTTCCTTTATGCATTTGTTCAGGAACCATATGTCTATGTTTAAGGTAGCTCTCTTCAATGAGACTCTTCTGTACGATTCAGCCGGATCTGCCATACTGCAGTAATGTAAATGAGGGAAATGGCTGTGTGCACATCAACGATGTAGAGAAGAAAAAGACAAGGGAGACCCCAGTGTGTATTCTGTGCATAAATTTTATTGAATAGCAGAGCGCTTTCGGCCGTAGGCCATCTTCAGTGCTTCCTGAAAGTAATCAAATAACCTGAATGAGATTTTGAAGGTTGTAACTAGTTGAGTTGATTAGCTAATCGGTTATTACTTACTTTGTCAGGAGTACATCGAAGTCAGAAATTGTAAAAGAGCACCACATACTTAATGGAACGAACATACATTTAAATTATTGCAAAACATTAAACATTTGGGTGTAAAAACATTTAGGTGTAAAAAGGGGGCCCTAGGGCTGAACCATGGCAATTACCTAAGATCAAAAAATATACCTGAAAACAATGTAGTTAACATCTTATCAATACTAAACCTATGTTTGTCACAGAACTACTTCTGTTTCAATGGCAAATATTACCAACAACCTGACGGCCTCGCTATGGGCAGCTGTTTATCACCTTTTCTTGCTGATGTATTCATGGATTTTCTGGAAAATGAACATATCATATCAAATAACAATTCGGAAATTTTACACTGGTTCAGATATGTGGACGATTGTCTTTGTTTCCTGGCTGGTGATAATCAAGTGGCTGAGACCCTACTTAACAAGTTGAACACCATTCACCCTAACATTGCTTTCACCCTAGAGATAGAAAATAACAAAAAAATTAATTTCTTAGACGTTACCATAGAAAAGGAACAGAACAATCTTCATTTTCAAATTTACAGGAAGCCAACACAAACGGACCACACAATCCCACAATCTTCTAATCATCCTCAACAACACAAATTAGCAGCCTTCCACTGTTACATAAATAGGCTACTTAATATTCCAATGTCTAAAGAGAACTACAACAAAGAACTTAGAATCTTGAAACAAATAGCATACAACAACCAATACGACCCGGACATGATAGATACCTTGATTAACAAGACAAAACACAATAGACTGAGGAAAGAAATCTACCCTCTTCCAAAGGAGACTTTGAGATATGTTTCAATACCTTTTGTTGATCAAAATTTCAGTTCGAAAGTAGCAAATTCCATTCGCCATTCTATCCAGAAAGTTAATATTTCTTATAAAACAAAAAACACTCTTCACACACACTTGGTTAACTCTAAAGATAGGATAGAAACCCTCTCCAAAAGCGGAATTTATAAGTTAAACTGTAACACTTGCAACAGTTCATATATAGGGAGAACTTGTAGACCTCTTCAAACACGGATTCACGAACATTTAACCAGACCTAATTCGGCTTTTGGGGACCACATAAAATCCACAAAACATGAATTTAGCCCTAAATCAAATTCCAAGATTATCCATAACGTTTCTTCAAAGAACTTCAATAGACTGGACTTTGTGGAGGACATTGAAATACAAAAAGAACTACAGGTAAATTGCTCTTGTCTAAATACTCAGGTGAATTTGAATAGGAGTTATATCCCTTTGCACAGACGCCTTCTAAATTAAACACTAACTAAGCTTAACAACTAAGTAGGTTTGATCACTCAATGATGATAATCAAGAAATTATCAAGTTCCATCTAGACCTGCTTACAATAGAGTTATTGTTTTTTAAAATTTAGTCTGGCTCTATTTATAAAAAACGAAAACTTAAACGATTTTCGAAATTCTTATTTTTTGAACTGCAATTTTGGAGTTGCCCTCGTAGCTCACACTTGCGCGGTTAGTCTTTGAAAATCAGCTGACTTTCTTCCTGTGTCATCCAGCATTAATTACAAAACGAAAAAGAACACGTTGTCTGAGACCAAACTAATTAATGTAATTGCCATGGTTCAGCCCTAGGGCCCCCCTTTTTACACCTAAATGTTTTTACACCTAAATGTTTAATGTTTTGCAATAATTTAAATGTATGTTCGTTCCATTAAGTATGTGGTGCTCTTTTACAATTTCTGACTTCGATGTACTCCTGACAAAGTAAGTAATAACCGATTAGCTAATCAACTCAACTAGTTACAACCTTCAAAATCTCATTCAGGTTATTTGATTACTTTCAGGAAGCACTGAAGATGGCCTACGGCCGAAAGCGCTCTGCTATTCAATAAAATTTATGCACAGAATACACACTGGGGTCTCCCTTGTCTTTTTCTTCTCTAATTAGATATTACTCCACTTATTCCGAATAAAAAATCCGAATTGATGGAGTATAAAAAAGTCAAATATTGGCTACTCTGTGAGCACTCTAAAAGTCAAAATTTTTCTAATTCGAGTAAAAAGAGTCAAAAATCTCAGATTAGAACTGGGAGCATCTAGAGTTGTGTTTAGCTTTTTCACTCCAAGTAATTTGTAGCTACTCCGACTGTTCGATTACAGCTTTTTAGAGTAAATACAGTAACTAAATGCATTTTCGTTTCCACAGATTAGAGTAAATAAATCTTACTCCAAAAGTTTCAGCTCGAAAAATAAAGATTTTCAAAGTGAAAGAAATGGAATTAAATTAAATTTAAGTTCGTCTTTTTCACTCCAAGCTCCAAGTACTCCGATTGTTCATTTATGGAGATTTTCAAAGTTAAAGCTGCCTTATTTATTGTTCCAGTGCAGATGTTCTGGTGCAATAGAATTGAAATTTTACTAAATTAAATTAAAGTTGAATTCGCCTTTTTCATTTTAAGTATTTCGATTGTTCGATCATGGTCTTATAGAGTAAATAGAGTAGCTTACTGCATGTTTGTTTATACGGGTTTATAAATCTTACTCGGGCTCTAAACCCGAACGATTTTAGAGTGAAAAGTGTCAAAAGAGTTGCCAAGTTGGAATCAATTTGTGAAATGAAACTTGAGTCTACTCTGCTTACGCCGAACGCCATTATTTTACTCTATAATGATACCCCCGAACCAATAAAGTAACTACTCCAACTGTTCGGAAGTGGCTTTTCAGTGTAAATAGAGGACAACTCACTCCAAAAGTTTCACCTCTGAGAAAGCAAATTTCAATAAGATAAGTACCTAACGGTGAAATTTTCCCCGAACGCAAATATTTTTAGTTCGTTTACTCCGGATTCGAATATAAATTAGTGGAGTAAAAACTACTATAAGATGTGTTCGTTTTTGTCATCTTTTTCGTCGATTTGCTCTGAAATTTGGACAAACAAGTGATTTGTGAATTGAAATTGTCACGTGCCTGTCAAAATTTTGGAGCAAATTGATGAAAAAGATGACAATTCCGAACACGGCAACAGAGTAGAGTAATTAAACTCACTCCAAAGATTATTTTAATAATGACATAATCTTACTTTTAACCAGTGGTGTATAAAATAGTCAAAAAAAGTACAATTTTGAACGAATTGGGCACTCTAGAGTACTCCGTATTCATTTTAACTTTTCAATTATTTTTTTTTAGAGTAAATATACAGAGTAGAGTAATTAGAACTCACTCCAAAGGTTCTACCTCGTGATTCGAAATTTTTAGAGAGAGAGTTTATTTACTTTTTTCTTGTTACCTGACAGCTATAGGCTATAGGTGACATTTGACAGATGATCGAATGTCATTTTAGTACCCCGAAATTCCACTAGGGGGCGTTTGGGGTTATACAAAACAATCGTCCTTAAATTGTTCATTTTTAATGAGCAAAAAAAAATACAAATCAAAATCGTTTTCTAATTCTAATGAATCACAATTATTCAAGTAATAAAACACTAAACAAGGGGTGGGAATGGCAGCCATTATGTCTAAATCGGTGAAATTTGAATTGTACCAAATTTAGTACAATTATTATATTGTACTAAATTATTATATTGTACGAAAAATAGTACAATTGTGATTGTAATAAAAATTAGGAAATTTCATTATTTAATGCATGTAATTCATCAAATTACAATATGTACTAAATCTTGTACAAAATTATTCACGATTGCTTTTAGTACAATCATCTACCACACGAAATTTAGTACATTTGTACAGAAAATAAGTCAATTTAAATTCTTACTTACAATTATTGTTAATTGTACCAACCTCAACAAAACAATTCCGCTCACCCCTTCTTAACTAATAAATGTCAAATAATGTCAATTTTTTTTTTGACAGATAAAATATAAATATAAAACACCGTAACATTCATAAAATAATTTTTTTGTGCTATTGCCGTCTCGTCTAAACCTAAAAACTTCTACGATATTCGAGAGTCGAATAATACTAATTGTACTAAAATTAGTACAATTATGTATAATTGTACTAAAACTAGTACAATTATCAATTTTACTAAAATTTAAGCTTAAAATCCTATTTAGTATAAAATACTGACCAACGTTTTATACAATAAAAATTCAAAAAAAAAAAGTACCGAGCCACCATCACATATTGCACTTTTGTTGCTTTTAAAGCTACCAACAGATGGCGCTAAATGGTACTTTTTCTTTCTTAGTCAGGGGGCAAATAACTGAAAAGTTTAAACTTGTTTCTGATATGAGGCCTGACGTCTTCTTTCTAAAAAAATTAAAAAAAAAAAACATTTATTTTTATTTTTATTTTTTTCACTCACCAATTGTACGAGATCTTCCAAGAACGGCAACAGTTTCATGAGTTCCGAATCGGTACGGTCCACGAACCAGCTTTCGATCGGGATGCCGTTGTTGAGCTGGAAATTAATTGTACTAAATTAAAAATTGTACTAGATTTAGTACAATTTCGGAAAAATGTTTGCTTGTATTTAAAAAAAAATTGTACTAGATCTAGTACAATTTTTTTGAGAGTGAATATGAATTGTACTAAATTTAGTACAATTATTAGAAATTAGATGTAGGTACTAAATCGTTTCAATTGTTTCATAACATAATAATTATACTAAAAAAAGTCAAAATTTTTGAGTTAATTCAGAGTGTGTACTTTTAAAGTTATTTTCAAGTACTTTTCTGTTGAACTTTAAAGTTGGATTTAATGTTTCAAGTACTCATTTTTAACAGATCAAAATTAGATGTTGTTTCTATGTACTTTTTAACAATTTGGTACATTTAAAGTTAATTTCTAGTACTTTTCAACACTTTAAAGTTGAATTTGAAGTTTCAAGTACTCATTTTTAACAATTTAAAATTAGTTTTGAAGTTGATTCTGAGTAATTTTAAAGTTATTTTCAAATACTTTTCTAAAGTTTTTTCAAATTTTCAAGTACTCATCTTCAACTAATTTAAAGTACTTTAAAGTTATTTTCAAGTACTTTTCAACACAAAGTTATTTTCAAGTATTTTTCAACACATAAAGTTCAATTTCAAGTTTCAAGTTTTCATCTTTCAAATTAGTTTTTTAAAGTACTTTTTAACAATATAAAGTACTTTTAAAGTTATGTTCAAGTATCTTCCAACACATAAAGTTGGATTTCAAGTTTTCATCTTTAAAAATTTAAAATTAGTTTTGAAGTAGTTTTAAAGTACTTTGTAACAATTTGAAGTACTTTTAAAATTATTTTCAAGTACTTTCCAACACATAAAGTTGGATTTCAAGTTTTCATCTTTAACAGTTTAAAATTAGTTTTAAAGTACTTTTCAACAATTTAAAGTACTTTTAAAGTTATTTTCAAGTACTTTTCAACACATAAAGTTGGATTTTTGGTTTCAAGTTCTCATCTTTAACAGATTAAAATAAGGTTTGAAGTTATTTTAAAGTACATTTTAACAATTTAAAGTACTTTTAAAGTTATTTTCAAATACTTTTCAACACATAAAGTTGGATTTCAAATTTTAAGTTTTCCTCTTTAACAGTTTAAAATTAGTTTTGAAGTTGTTTTAAAGTACTTTTTACCAATTTAAAGTACTTTTAAAGTTATTTTCAAGTATTTTTCAACACATAAAATTAGGTTTCAAGTTTCAAGGTTTCATCTTTGACAGTTTAAAATTAGTTTTGAAGTACTTTTTTACAATTTCAAGTACTTTTAAAGTTATTTTCAAGTACTTTTCAACATATAAAGTTGGATTTCAAGTTTCAAGTTTTCATCTTCAACAGTTTAAAATTAGTTTTGAAGCTGTTTTAAAGTACTTCTTAACAATTCAAAGTACTTTTAAAGTTATTTTCAAGTATTTTTCAACACATAAAGTTGGATTTCAAGTTTCAAGTTCTCATCTTTAACAATTTAAAATTAGTTTTGAAGTACTTTTTAACAATTTAAAGTCCTTTTAAAGTAATTTTCAAGTACTTTTCAACACATAGAGTTGGATTTCAAGTTTCAAGTTCTCAACTTTAACAGTTTAAAATTAGTTTTGAAATTGTTTTAAAGTACTTTTTAACAATTTGAAGTTCTTTTAAAATTATTTTTCAAGTATTTTTCAACACGTAAAGTTGGAATTCAATTTTCAAGTTTTCATCTTTAACAGTTTAAAATTAGTTTTGAAGTTTTTTTAAAGTACTTTTTAACAATTTAAAGTACTTTTAAAGTTATTTTCAAGTACTTTTCAACACATAAAGTTGAATTTTAGGTTTCACGTTCTCATCTTTAACAGTTTAAAATTAGTTTTGAAGTTGTTTTAAAGTACTTTGTAATAATTTGAAGTACTTTTAAAATTATTTTCAAGTACTTTTCAACACATAAAGTTGGATTTCAAGTTTCAAGTTTTCATCTTTAACAGTTTAAAATTAGTTTTGAAGTTGTTTTAAAGTACTTTGAAAATTATTTTCAAGTACTTTTCAACACATAAAGTTGGATTTCAAGTTTCAAGTTCTCATCTTTAACAGTTCAAAATTAGTTTTGAAGTTGTTTTAAAGTACTTTTTAACAATTTAAAGTTCTTTTAAAGTTATTTTCAAGTATTTTTCAACACCTAAAGTTGGATTTCAAGTTTCAAGATCTCATCTTCAACAGTTCAAAAAATTAGTTTTGAAGTTGTTTTAAAGTACATTTTAACAATTTAAAGTACTTTTAAAGTTATTTCAAGTACTTTTCAATACATAAAGTTGGATTTCAAGTTTCAAGTTCTCATCTTTAACAGTTTTAAATTAATTTTAAAGTTGTTTTAAAGTACTTTTTTAAAATTTAAAGTACTTTTAAAGTTATTTTCAAGTATTTTTCAACACATAAAGTTGGATTTCAAGTTTCAAGTTCTCATCTTTAACAATTTAAAATTAGTTTTAAACTACTTTTTAAAAAATTAAAGTTATTTTCAAGTACTTTTCAATACATAAAGTTGGATTTCAAGTTTCAAGTTCTCACCTTTAACAGTTTTAAATTAATTTTAAAGTTGTTTTAAAGTACTTTTTTAAAATTTAAAGTACTTTTAAAGTTATTTTCAAGTATTTTTCAACACATAAAGTTGGATTTCAAGTTTCAAGTTCTCATCTTTAACAATTTAAAATTAGTTTTAAACTACTTTTTAAAAATTTAAAGTTATTTTCAAGTACTTTTCAATACATAAAGTTGGATTTCAAGTTTCAAGTTCTCACGTTTAACAGTTTTAAATTAATTTTAAAGTTGTTTTAAAGTACTTTTTTAAAATTTAAAGTACTTTTAAAGTTATTTTCAAGTATTTTTCAACACATAAAGTTGGGTTTCAAGTTCTCATCTTTAACCATTTAAAATTAGTTTTAAACTACTTTTTAAAAATTTAAAGTTATTTTCAAGTTCTTCTTAATACATAAAGTTGGATTTCAAGTTTCAAGTTCTCATCTTTAACAATTTTAAATTAATTTTCAAATTGTTTTAAAGTACTTTTTTACAATTTAAAGTACTTTTTGAAGTTATTTTCAAGTACTTTTCAACACATAAAGTTGGATTTCAAGTTTTCATCTTTAACAGTCTAAAATTAGTTTTTGAAGTTGTTTTAAAGTACTTTTTAACAATTTAAAGTACTTTTAAAGTTATTTCCAAGTACTTTTCAACACATAAAGTTGGATTTCAAGGTTTCATCTTTAACAGTTTAAAAATAATTTTAAAGTTATTTAAAAGTACTTTTTAACAATTTAGAGAACTTTCAAAGTAATTTTCAAGCACTTTTCAACACATAAAGTTGGATTTCAAGTTTCAAGTTCTCATCTTTAACAGTTTAAAATTAGTTTTGAAGTTGTTTTAAAGTACTTTTTAACAATTTAAAGTATTTTTAAAGTTATTTTCAAGTAGTTTCCAGTACTTTAAAATTTTAAAATTCGACCTAATACCTTCAGTACCTTTTAATATTTGAAATTTTTTAAAAAAATTTCAAGTACCTATTTTTTGAAACAGTTTAAAATTAGTTTTGAAATTTTCAAAACTTGTTTCGAGTACTTTTTAACAATTTCAAAGTTCCAGTACTTTAAAAATTTCAAAATTCGATTTAATACTTTCAAGTACTTTTTATTATTTAAAAGTTTAAAAAAAATTTAAGTATCTATTTTTGAAACAGTTTAAAATTAGTTTTGAAGTTTTCAAAACTTGTTTCAAGTACTTTTCAACAACTTCAAAGTTATTTTCAAGTAGTTTTTAGTATTTTAAAACTTCAAAATTTGACTTAATATTTTCAAGTACCTTTTAATATTTGAAAGCTTAAAAAAAAATTTCAAGTACCTATTTTTTGGAACAGTTTGAAATTCTCAAAACTTGTTTCAAGTACTTTTCAACAACTTCAAAGTTATTTTCAAGTAGTTTCCAGTACTTTAAAACTTCAAAATTTGACTTAATGTTTTCAAGTACCTTTTATTATTTGAAAGTTTTTTAAAAAATATCAAGTACCTATTTTTTGAAGCAGGTTAAAATTAGTTTTGAAGTTTCAAGTACTTTTCAACAACTTCAAAGTTATTTTCAAGTAGTTTCCAGTACTTTAAAATTTCAAAATTCGACTTGACACTTGCAAGTACCTTTTAATGTTTGAAAGTTTTTGAAAAAAATTTCAAGTACCTATTTTTTGGAACAGTTTAAAATTAGTTTTGAAATTTTCAAAACTTGTTTCAAGTACTTTTTAACAACTTCTAAGTTATTTTTAAGTAATTTCCAGTATTTTAAAATTTCAAAATTCGACTTAATACTTTCAAGTACCTCTTAATATTTAAAAGTTTTTAAAAAAATTTCGAGTACTTATTTTTTGAAGCAGTTTAAAATTAGTTTTGAAATTTTCAAAACTTGTTTTAAGTACTTTTCAGCCACTTTAAAGTTATTTTCAAGTAATTTCCAGTACTTTAAAAATTTCAAAATTCGACTTAATACCTTCAAGTGCCTTTTATTATTTGAAATTTTTTTCAAAAATTTCAAGTATCTATTATTTGAAACAGTTTAAAATTAGTTTTGAAGTTTTTAAAATTTGTTTCAAGTACTTTTTAACAACTTTAAAGTTATTTTCAAGTAGTTTCCAGTACTTTAAAATTTCAAATTTCGAGTTAATACTTTCAAGTACCTTTCACTATTTGAAAGTTTTAAAACAAATTTCAAGTACCTATTTTTTGGAACAGTTTGAAATTAGTTTTGAAGTTTTTAAAACTTGTTTCAAGTACTTTTCAACAACTTTAAAGTTATTTTCAAGTAGTTTCCAGTACTTTAAAACTTCAAAATTTGACTTAATACTTTCAAGTACCTTTTAATATTTGAAAGTTTTCAAAAAATTTTCAAGTACTTACCTATTTTTTGGAACAGTTTGAAATTAGTTTTGAAATTTTCAAAACTTGTCTCAAGTACTTTTCAACAACTTCA